GGATTAATAGGATTAAAAATTCTAGGTAACTCAGCATATTCAGTTTTACATGTTTCAATAAATTTACATGGAGGTGGAATGATGAATTACAAATATAGAAATTATTTAACTCGTTACTAAACTATTTTTATTTCATCAACGAGCTTATAACACATTCAGATTAATCAAATTCATTCGTTCAATTTTCTTTATTATCATGAGATAAAGTTTGTTTCTATGATATATATATATTTCCATATTTTTTGTGTTAATATTTCATTTAGATCTTGAAAACTTTCAATTTGTATTATTAATGGAGTGGAAATGTTTTTTTTTTTTCAAAGTAATCCACTTGAGAATATGCTAAAAAATATCTCCTGACAATAAATGATAAATATTAAAAAATACTAAAATTGGTAATTGAGCTGGCAAAGATATGTAGTTGACCACGAGAGATGAAGCTTTGATCATTTGCAGAGAGTCTTGTCGAACATAGAATGTTGCCACTCAATATCAACAATATTCCCTCTTAAAAATCCTCTAGTTAAGAGGGATCAGTATACGAACAGTACATCAGTTGTAATTATTAAAATAACTTTGACTTTAAATATATAAAGTTTTACATTACTTGAAAGCTTATGACTAACAAGTAATAAATTCGATAAGTTGATTCCTTTTTTTATTCCTCAATGACCATTGAAATTACAATGGCATGAAATTAATTAAACTTGAAAATGGATATTTAGGTTGACATTATTGTGCTCTATAGTACATAGAGGTTTCAACTTTTGCGCTTTCACCCTCTCAATTTATCGAGAACCCTTTTGCAATATTGACCTGGTCTTCAAGTACAAACAAAGCTCCCGGTCTTTATTAAGGAATTTGGCACGGCTGGAGATATAAATCTGCGGTCACCCGGTTGGCAGGAATGCTAGGGGACTTACAGAAAATACTCCTGAGGCGTTTCATCTGGGTTCGCGAATGAAGCGGTGTAGTAGTAAAAAGTAATTGCTCTCGCCTGGTTTATTGCAACCAATATTGTTTGGCTTGGTAAGTGTCTTTGGAATAGTGTATATATAACGATTCCCAAGCAGCCAGTTTTGACCGCCAAAGGACTTGAAAATAGTTTGGTGATTGACTAGTGTACAAATCGTTTATAATAGCCAGAGACCTACCGCACGATTTTCATAAAAGTCACTATTTTCTTTATGTGCTTCCCTATTTGTACGAATCAGTTTCATTTCTTTTTTCTCAATATGTACTTTTGTAACGATTCATTGGGTCAAGCGTGACAGGTAGAAATAACATCGATGAGACACCTTCACATTATTTTCACTCTTTGCAAAGACATTCGCGTGTAACAAATCAGGTCGAAAGCAGAATACCAAGTTGATTCTCTCGTATCCTTTATGTTGTGAGCCCATCACCGACTACCTTTAGATGCTTTCTTCCCTTCCATTCAGTCCCCAATTAGTTCAGGAAAGCTGCAATCTTTAAGAGCAGACCCACGACTCTGACTTTTAGGTATCGACGATTGCCGACAAAACGATGAAGATTCCCAAACAGCGTAAAAGACATTGAGAAACTGAATGACATCTTCTGTCTCTTAAATAAAAGTCGTATTTTTTTTCGTGATTAAACGATTGTGTCGGCAGTTGAAAAGAAATATTACTGCTTTTATATAACTAATTTATATTTATTAAATTACTTTTTATTGTTATGAAAGACTAATGATTAATTGCATGATATTTTTAACGTGAGTCAAAAAATTAAATAAATAGTACATTTATGTGTGTGTGTGTGTGTGTGTGTGTGAATGAAAAGAACACACACGATGTGTATTAGTTAACACATGAAGCAATAATCTGACTGTGGGTAATCGGCTAATGTGCAGGGCTATAATCTATATGTGTTTATTGGCTAACGTACACAAGGGAAAATTCGTATCCATGTTTTGGCAAATATACACACACATGGTGTGTATGCATTCTAGTGAATTATATGTGTATTTTCGTAAAAATGTCCTTTTAATGTTTATTGAGGGAATATGCGGTTAATTCTCTTCGTAATTGTAACATGTAAATTAGTGAATAAAATGATGAAATTTGATTATTTATTAGGTTGTTGGAAAAGCTGATGCGATTATGATGTAATATTTCATTCGTTAAATTGGATGATAAATTTTTTTTTGTTGTCATTGATGTTTTATATTTTTATCCATTATAAATATCTTTAATAATATTATTCTTGATTTTACGCTATTTTTTAATTGCTCAATTTTGTATTCTTTTTAGATAGTTGCAATTTTAAAATAATTGATTAAAAAAAACCACTGCTAAAAATTATTTTTCAAAAAAAACATTTCAACATTCGAATAAGAAAATTTTTGTTATTGCAATTTTACAATTTAAAGTTCATTGAAAATTAAATACATAAATTTTTATTTGGTAATATTTTTTTTAGAGATTACTTAATTTACTTTTAACTAAAAATAAAATAATCTGCAGCATATAAAATCACTTGATGGCCATCAGCTGATTCCAAATTAATACATCAATATGCTGTTATTACAGTTTTAACAATGTTTCAATTTATTTTTCCAATTTTTTAACATATTTACCACGTAAGTATTATTACATAAAAAAAGCAAAATTGGAAAATTAATTGAAACAAAAATATATGAATAAATGAATAGAAAACTTGAAGCAATTACTAAAATCAGCGTACAACAAGAATGATTATTTAATCAGCGTGTAAAAGTCTTCATTTCTATAGTGATTAGATAGAGCAGTTGGAATACTAATAGTAAGTGTAGCTTTAGAACAGAAAGTAATTTCGTAAAGCGAGAAAACGTCGGAAGTAATTTAGCTGGACAAACGCGCAAGCTGCAGTGGTATTTAGAACGATAAAAGAGAGATGGAGCTTTACATCTAGAAGGCTATACACCGAGTAAAGGCCCATCAAGTGAGTTTCTACGGCGCTCGGGCAAAATGACAAATTGACGTGGATAGCAATAAGCTGACAAAATGAGGAGGCAATCAGGCTCGCCGCGGGAGATGCCACTACGGATCGAGTTCGCGAAATGACCTTGGGCTGTAGCAGGAGCGTCCTACAGTATCAGCACCAGTTTCGTATTATAGTAAGAAGTGTTGCTGCAGATGGAGGAAAGTTTATGTCAGATTTACTGAAGATACGATCACGAAGCTTTTATGATTAGACGTATTATTAATTAGATGATTCAACTAAAAGTCTTTGAGAATAAAGTGTATCGATCGGAGAAGACGTACAAATAAATTCAATTCTGTTAATAAGTCATTTTAACAACTAAAAATGAATGCTCTATAAACGGATTCTCATCATTCAGTAGTTCGTTCACCTTTTGCATGTAATACAGTGTAGATCGTCAATTCGTTCATCTTAGCTCTAAAAAATCTGGCTTCTCATTCTATATACTTACTCGTTTTTTCTTTATATTCTTGTGTAATTAAAACGTGTATGATGCTGGAAATCAATAGAATCCTATCATCAAAGTATTCTCACATGCTCATATAGTAATTAACTCCATTTTTGCTTGTCATCATTCAGGTGCTCTTTGAAGTTAGGAGTCGATTTGGGATTTTTTTTCATCTTTTTTACTTCTCAGTTTAAATTCATGAAAACCATCTGGTTAAAGAACTTTTCGTACTGGTGGTCTTTATTCGTTATATTGTCATTAACTATATCACATATATGTAATTAGTACCAATAATTTAAAATTCTCGGGTGTCAAGTTCACCGCTAGGTTTCGTTTCATGTGTCAAAAAATCCAAGACACATGTTCCTTTTTAAAAGTGCCGACTCATGGCATCTCTTCTTTTACTCTTTCATTCTTTATATATTGGCGCTACTTCTCTCTGTGCTTCTTTTCTTCCTGATTCGTTGTGAGTCTTCGTCCATTTTAACCCGTCACATCTTGCCGTACTATGGATGAAAAGCAAGATGATTACACTAACTGTTCATGTGCGGGATAAAGTGAGAGAAAGGAAAAAAAATGAATGGCCAAAAACTCGACACTAGGGTGAGATATACTCGTGTCAGGGTGTTTGTCTAATTAACTACACTAATGTTTCGTTACTTGCCACGTGATAAATGTGCATCGCAGGCCTCTCATTCTTCTTCCTCACTTAGTTCACTTTTTTAAACGAAAATCGAAAGCGAAAGGGGATCTTCCGGTTATAGGGCTCAAAGCTAGAGAAAGAAGGAAGAAAATAAGGGACATCGTAACGAGATCTGTGAACGTAAATACTCGTCCGGAGTTAGTCGTCTGGTGGTGTCACTACAAATGATCTTGTCAGTTGTACATTTTTTAACTCCTTCTTCACCACATTTTTTCCACTCTGTAGCTGGTGTGCCCTCACACATGTGCAGTCGTTTATTTTTTTCTCATTTTTTTCCCTCTATCCTCTCAATGGTTATATATTCAAAGCTTGTATCATTGATACCTTATACATTCGCCAAGTAATAGCAATACTATTGGATTTTCACCGAAAAAACATACACACAAGTACGAATTTTATGCAAAGTTATCGATTTTCACAATAATCCAAGCACAGTGAGGAAGGATCATGGATTAATCGCTTTTGAAGCACGCGCAAAAATCCCACGTTGAATGAAAATCCGATCAGCTTCGACCATACCCGTTAAATGGATCCCGCGTGATAGCTGTAACTGACGATCAATTGCGCTCCTATTATCCATTCAGTTTCTTTCATGTCTCATGTTCTTTGCATTTAAAATAACAGTCATTGAATTTTATTTTCGGTTATATACACTCATTAAAATTTTAAATTGCTCCAGCGTTGAGAATAAAAAACGTCTATTTTTATATTCTAACACATTAAAGAAATGTCACGATGAAATTAACATTTTAATTCTTTTTTAACGAAAAAAAATTCAATTATAACCAAGTGCTTGCTTGCTTGGTGCTAGGAACTAATAAATCTTCTGAGAAAGGGAGTAATTCAAGTTACCGTATCTTCTAGTTTCCAGTTAGCGTCTGGATTAGCTTGAAGTATCTACGGTAGATCCAGTGTCTAATCGTGGCATCAGCGATGCGGGCCAACCCATAAATATACACTTGGGTCCTCAACCCCGGACTTAAATCCACGAAGGAGAGCTTTCGAGTGGTTGATTTGTCAAAACCTCACAAACTATTGGTTACGTAATTGAAGAATGAGCACGAGCATTGGAGATTATCACCGGATAAGTGGATCAAGGAGGTACAAACAATGTCAATGAGTGAAGATAAAAGGATGATGACATCGAGTCAGCTGTTGTTGTTGGTAATGTATAGACTTGGCTTATTTATTAACTTATAAACAGGCAGTTAATTTTATATATAGCTTCCCCTATTTTAATGCATGATATATGAAGTGTTTTTGGTATATAATTACTTCAAGACAATTCTATTTAAAATCTTTGACAATACTCTCTAGTAGTCTCGTCTGTCTGCGGTCTAACCGCGAAATATACCCCTCAACGAACTTGTCTGTTATTAATTTGGCAGGTGGCACAGGTGTCGGTTAGCAGAAACAGTTCAGATAAATATAACCGCACGTCGAATCTTGGTCGGAAAATATATAATAGCTATTTGTTAACTTTTATACTCACGTTGAGAAAAAATTTAAGTCCATTTTTCAGCTATTTTATGATTGAAAGATAAACTAATATTTTACAAGTAAAATTAACTGAAATAATATTACCACATGCTTCGAAGAAAAACTCCTTTCTTTAACAGATATTAATGATTTGAAGAAAAAAACTATCCTCAGAATAATTTATTTTAAATAAAAATATTAATATTAATAATAATATTAATGACGAATATATTAATGAAGTTTATGTCTAATGTACATCTGATGGTAGATAAAGAATAAAAATTAAGCGATTGAAAAATTAGGGAGACAGTTGTCATAAAAATAAACAGCAACTTTTGTCGGGCTTTGTGATAAGCCAACTGCTTTAATATCTGATGTTTTAATAAATCGGGATATTTCCATATTTATAGTTGGTGGAACATATAGATAGCGCGGGATTTTGTTTGGATGTAATTTTAGTTATAATTTTGAGCTTGTTATCTTATGACATGTCAAGAGTGGCAGGTAAAAAATATAGTACGCTGGTGCTAATTGGATGAATATAAAAGTTAAAAATAACGAATGCTCTTTATAATTCTTGGGAGCATAGCCAGCGAGGCAATTCCACACCTTGACCACTTCGCATGCCGACACGATGTCTACATGCCTTTAGTAAAGAGCCGAGATGAGAGTTAGGATCAGAGAGCTGGCAGGTAGATATTCGGGTGGTCGTATATCAGAGAACGTTGCCATGAGGACAAGAATGTTAGCGAGAGCTAAATTACACAATAAACGGAACGCATTTGGGAATCGAAAAAGCAAAATCTCGTCGTCACGTCATCTTTTTATAGTCTTTTATTTACAGAAGTTGTTTCAAACTATCTCTTCGATCATTTAAAAATTCACACATGGACTTTCTACCAAATGAAATTTTATGACACTAAATACTACAATATGAGATTTAAGAATAATAAAATCCCACGACTTGTGTGTTTTGCTGAATTTATATTCATCGAAATGGTTGGGAAAGCAACGCCAAATTGAACTGGACAGCCATCTAAATTCATATCCACTATTGGCCAACTGATGAGAATGCTCATAAATATTGAAAGTTATAAATAATAATTTAAGGGCAGCAGCATTGTGAAGGTATACAACTCTCCAAGTGCATTCGTCTGGAGTCATCTAAAGTGAGTTAAGAGATGGTGAAGGAAGAGCAGCCTAACTAGTGTACAAATAAATTTAACTCTAACGATTCAGAGGCGTCTTTGTGACTTACGGGGCGTATACAGGTTTGTTAGGGCGGATTATTTTTTACGATAACACACTGGGAGTTTTTATAAAATGTTTGATAAATTGATTGAGCTGTAATTCACGCATTAAAAGTCACGTTGACTTCATTATTTTTGTTCAAATTCCACCTTTTCTTTTTTGAATAATTTTCTAATGAATTAATACACCTGCATCGTTTACGCCTCCTCTTTCCTGCATGATGACTTCATTTATTCAGGTTTTTCTGAATTTTGTTCAAAAATAACGTCAAGTTAATTTAGGCAAGTGATGCCTATACAAGTTTTGGCCTATCTTTGAATCAAATTTAAAGGTGCTGGACGCACTTCCTAAAAGAGAGACGCTTGTCGTTGTATAACTTAACTATATACCATTAATCTTGCTTTACTGATTTATCCTTCGTAGGCGCGCAACAGCACGCGCATGCCCTATGTGGTCTAACTTCTTTATAGCTTTCATTATGTTGCTAGAAGCAGCTGCTTGGATAGAAAGACATCACACCCCTGTGTGACGCAAAGACGGAACTTGTCTTCCTTTATCTATCCCTCTTCTCTCCTCTGATGTACCTCCATAGACTACTTGTGTCTCATCACATCTCAACATGTCTCGTTTCAATAGACATCTCTGTGCTCCCTTAATTTCTTTTCGTCTTTTCAATTTAGATTACTCGTTTGTTGTAGTTCTATTGCTCGTATAGTGGCGTTGCCTGGTGACAGATCAATGAAGTAAATGCCTAGCAAATTTGAATGAGACGAAGGACAAAGGAAATTGGGCGGAAGGTTTTATCATTTACACCAATCAATCGGGCACGTTCCACTGAATGGCAACGAGTAGTTCAATTAAATCTGCAATCGATTATCTCGTTTTTAGAGGGATAAAATGAGTATGGGAGTTAATTAACAAGAGAATATTTTACATTCTAGTTCAATGATGAATACATTAAATACCAATATTAAATTTTATCGTAAAGATTTGAATGTTTTTTTTTCCATTCAAATTTTATACATTTTTTTTTTCTTTTTATAATAAAGAAAAAAAAAACTGCTATTTTCAAGTAATAAATCTCATTTAGTTTTTTCATGGTTTATCTCTCTGTAGATAATAATAGCATGTAGTAATGACCTAAAACTGTTCGTCTGTTTTATTTTTATATAAGGATCACTGAGCAGAAGAAAAAAAAACATCAATCGGTTGTTGTTACAATAAAGTAACAGGTAAACTCGTAAAAAACCGGATATTTTTATTTGAAACTGATTTTCATAGGGATTTCTGTTACTAAAATTTAGAAGGAAATTTTTAAAAAATAAATCTAAATTAGAAATCTTTTCAGAAAAAGTAATTCAATAAATTTATATAGTTCTAAGGAATATTTATTAAAAAAAAAAATTTCTTTTTTTTTATTACCGAATCTCGAGAAGTATTAATTCTTTCACGTATAATTTTGAATAAAAGAATTTCATGAAAATTATTAGAAAATATATAATAGTGATTTAGTGTTTCATTTGAAAACATAAAAAAATATTAAGGTGCATAATAAAAGAGTAAAAAAAATAATATCTATCGAAAGTACGTTAGCAGGTATTCTAGGGTGGAGAATCATCTTGAATATATCTAGAAAATTTTTCTCTTTTTAAATATCTCTTTACATCAATCGAAATTCAACAATCGTCATCATACAATCTAGGAGCTACCGTTTTGAAAGTAGGAGAATAAATTTTTCCACGAGAATAAAATCTGAATAGATTAAAATGAAGTATCATTTCCACAGATGAATTGAGGGAATAATTGTAGAAAGAAAGAAAGAAAGTAAGAGGTCACGTAAGATGAAGATTGTACCGGTGCTGCTATATAACGGACATACCTAAAAGACATGTGACGTAGAGAAAAGAGCTGTGATGCCTTTTCTTCTTTTATTTTTTGATTTTTTCATATACCTACACATATATGTACTATCGTGAATGGATATCTGCTAAGATCGGTGGATGGGTCGGTGCATTGGACGTCGGTAGACCACAGACAGAGAAAAGCCGTAATGCTGAGATCGGGAACCGATAACAAGAAAGATACGGGTTCGATAAGCTCTTTTACTTAAAACATTATACAGGAATCTACTGTACCACAGCATCTACGCCCATTTTTTTAATTCCCTCACGGTGAGCACCCGGATAATACAACCACTCCTGGGTGGAATTATGGATCCTACATGTCATAGAGTTCATGAAGAAAAATATGGAAAGATCAGGGAATAAAAATAAAACCAAGTTCAACAGAAAAGTCATACTATCGCTCACGTATCTCAGCATTCCCATGATCCAGCATTATGGCAGTTTCATAGTCTGTGTTCGTTTGCATCTCTCAAGGGATCCCCCTGCACAGCTGTATGCACTTTCGGAAGCTTCGTACGTGTTTCAATTCCATCTCTGTATCTTTACAGAATAAGACTCTGCGACTGTCTTACCGCTATGTCTGCTTGGTGAGATAGCCAAAGCTTCAGCAGCGCACTATGTGCATACCATCGAGACATGTATCGATGTGTTCCTTCACTTGCTCAGTCTCATCCCAGCTGGAAGCAAACAAGCGAATTTACCTTTCCAACGATCTCCCGATGTCTTAAGATTAAATAAAAGCCTACAGTATTGACATTGTTTCACATATAAAACTTATCTCGAAATTTATCTGTCGATTTATTTTTTGGGATAAAGAAATCGGAATAAATTTCGATGTATCATTATATACATTTTATATTCGTGAATGAATAATATATTCAATAAATTTTTTTTCTACTCACTATCTCGTGACAGTTGAGACGTTTTTTTTGCAACGCATTTTCTTCATGATAACACTCATATTTCTCGACCTTCTCTTTTCTACACTAGATGATGAGGATGGGGGTGAGGGAGGTGGAGGTGAAGGAAGCGATGAAAAAAGAGCTATGCATGTCAAGGAAAGAAGATGAGTGCTTTAAGAGAAGAATCCTTATCGCTACCACATCACGCATCATCCTGTCCACATTGTGTCGTAGAATGTCGGTTCTTGGGTTAGCTGAACTATCTCATCCGCATCTGCGCACCCTAGATGAGTATGGAGGCGTGGTGTGTACACATTACATTGTGCGGTAAGCGGTTAGGTACCATCAGGATGAGAAACGAAAAAGAAGAAGAGAGAGAAAATTTTCAACGCATCTAGTAGTGTGCATATCGCTGGTGACACGTTGTACCTACCTATTTCCTCTGATGCTTATTCACTCAATCTTTTAGGATGTTCCAATCTGCCATCTATACTCTCTGGTATATTCTTGATGGGGGCACGTGGTTTGATGTTGAGGAAAAAGAATGATCCGCAAAGGGCCTGCTGCGGGCAAAAGGCGGGATCTTGCTTTCAGGACAAGGGACTTTGGGGACAATCAGGACCCACTC